TGAGATATCATTTTCTCCTGATTTTAGACAATGAAAAGGAGCAATGATTGTACAACCATCTCCAAACTATTGAAGCAGAAAACAAATCAGGTAGCCCACGTTATGAGATCAAACTATTTAGTACATCTCAGAATCAGATCATAAACTTAGTTACTTCATCTGCTGCAATTACAGTAAATTATGCTACCAATAAAGCTTTTCTACTTGAGATGAATGAAATGAAGATACATAAATGATGCCAACAACCAAATACAAGGGTAGATGGCCAAAGGAAATTGTTCTTTTCCTTGGGTTCATCTTCGGCTATCATTAACTGGACCAGGAGGTCCAGTACCAGGGACCAATCCAAAAGTAATGATCGGTATGGGTTTCTCAATCTAACTATATCCCTAGTCAATCGAGCATAAACCTACCTTTCTCACCATGAGTTGGAGAGCCATTTCCTTGTCATCCCTTGTTTGATGTGGAGTTCATGAAAGATGTAGACTGACAGTGAAGGATGTAGATCTTTAACTCTCTCTCTCTCTCTCTCTCTTTCTGTAGTTGAAGACAGGCAAAATAAGGCTGTCACAGTGATCAGAAAAGAGCAAAGAAAGTGCGTGTGGCTCAATGTGATGTTGTTTATAGTAATAACTAGCATTCAAACCAGAAGTTATCATCCAAATCAGCTTTCTTTTTCTTCAAGATTACAACCTGCTGGGATTGAGATTTTATGAGCTCTATATTTTTATATGAATCTACATTGGTGTCTTGAAATATATGAAATGATATGGAGCTCTAGTAAATAATTATAGTGGTTAGTTTGATAGAAATGTGGATGAAAACAAGGAGATGCAGCTGCAATTCTAGATTGAGTGGGACATCTGAATGAAAGATCTTCTTCCTCCTCTTCTTTATCAAACCTAATCCACAGATCACACAATCTTCATCATAAAGAAGTATTTGTCTAGTTAAATGGATTTTGGTGGACATGATTAGAAAAACAAAAGAAAAATCCATGAAAACAGAAGGCATGGCATGCATTAATTGAAGGCCAGTGTCCCTTGGTTTGTTCTTCCCACAAGCTTTCAAATGAGAAAGTAGGTGATCTAACCTATACATGCATGAGTGCACTGAGCTCTTACTGTTCCTTCAAGCAAATCAAACTGCTTTATTTAGAGTAGCCCCCTACTATTGTTCTATACTTCAAAACATGTGGAACACATTTATTTAATAGAGAGGACAATTATTTCATTTGTCTCTGCCTTCTTTTTAGTTCGTAATACAAACAAGGTATGCTCTAACACTACTCCTCCATGTCACATGCATCTCAGTAACCAGACAAAAGAAGACATATGGGTTTCATGTAGGGCCAGTGTGGATCTGATAATGTATGTCAGAAATCCAAGTGCAGTGGGATGTGGTGACACTATTCAAGATCTGAATTATATTGATACTGTTATCTAATGATTCTTAAATTATTTTTTTAGGATATATGAAACTGATGTGATACTCACATCTTGATTCATTTTAATCTTACTTGGATCCATATCTAAGTTATTTGTTTGTCTCAGCATAATATAGTTAAAAAACTTAGTATCCAATTATATTATTTTTATGATGAAATGGTGTTCATATTTCTATGAAAGATTTCTTTTTTTGTTTTTTAAGTAATCCTCAACTTCTTTTTGTTGGATCATGCTAATTCTTGAAGTTGCAAAAGTACTCATGCAAGTAAACCCTAAAGTTATTAAAAAAATAACAATAATAAAGTGATAAGTGTCAACAATTTAGAGTTGATTACGTGGATCTTTAATCACTATTCAGATTGATAAAAAGTGATATACTTAATTAAGTTTATAATAATTAATTTTTTTATTTATAATTTATATTAAAGTTTTTAGGGTCATCTCTATCTCTTTTTGTATAACTAAAATTAATTATTTTACCTCTTCTAACTACTGTATTCATATGTCTCTTAGGCATATATCCATATAATCTTAAATGATTCTCTTTTATCATTCTCTATTAAATTGATATTTAGTTACTCATAAATAAATAAAAAAATTTATTTCATTTCTAGTAGGTCTACACATTCACTTCAATATTTTCATCTCAGTAATATAATTTTTTATATATATTATTTCTTAACTACCCAACACTCATATTTATGAAGCATTATTAGTTTTATAATTATTTTATATTTTTTAGTTCTAAATATATATAATAATCATACAAGACTCTTAATATCCCTCGTTATTTTAACTATCTCATTTTTACTCTATGAGTAATATTCTTCATTGATCTCTTCATCTCGTTGAATAAACGAACCAAGATACCTAAAGCTTTTACTTAAAAAAATATTTTATCTATCCAAATTAACTATATTTTTTTATCTATTTCTATTATTACTAAAATTATATCTTATATATTCAGTCTAAAATCTTTATTTTTTAAAGATTGTCTCTATAACTTAAGTTTATAATTAATTTTACTTAGGTTTTCATCAATTAAGATAATATCATCAACAAATAATATACACCTAGCAGATTTATCTTGTAAATAACTAATAAGTTCATCCATTATTAATGTAAAAAGGTATGAGATATAATGCAAACTTTTAATATAATTTTATGCTAATAAGGAACTCATCAGATGTACTCTTATGGTTCTAACAATGATAGATATATTATCATACATATCTTTAATGACATTAATATAGTTATGGTTGTACTTTTTTTTTTTTTCTAGAGCCTATCATAATAACTCACTAAGAACTCTATCATAGGTCTTTTTAGTTAATAAAAATTATAATAATTTTTTTAATTAATTATCTTAATAAATAAAATAGCTTGTATGGTTGATCTTCTAAGCATAAAATTAAATAGATTTTTGAATATATTTATTTCAAGTCTCATTCTATTTTTGATAACTTTTTTCCAAGATTTTTAAGTATGACTTATAATTTTAATTCTTTTTCTAATTTGAATAATTTTGTCTGTTACTTTTATTATAGTAAATTAGTACTAAAAACTCTTTTTCTACTCATTAGACATCTTTCTGAATCTCATAATCTTGTTAAATAAGTTATTTAACCAAGCTAGTCTCTTAAACCTTAAACTTTTCTAGACTTCAATATCACTAGTTCTAAGCTTATAAATAAATATACGATTATTAAATCTATAATTATTATTTATCATTAAAACTATATCCTTTGTGGAATATTTATAAAATAATTTATAAAAATAAATTTTCCATCTTTCTTTAATTTCATCATCATCAATAAATATTGTTTGATCTTCATTTTAATGTATATAATATTATCTAAATTTTTATGCTTTCTTTTTCTGGGTTTAGCAATTTGATGCATATCATTTTCACTATTTTTAATATCTTATTTATTATAAAAAAATCATAGGTTTTATATCTCATCATACAAACCAGTTTTTAAGATCTTTTCTCCTCGTAGACACAAAGTTACTATGATTCAATATTTAATCATTGCTTCTAACAAAATTTTTATCTTTCCCCTCCTTTTCTTATTATTTACCTTTTTACGTTAAGCATCCACCAATCTTATTCTTATTCTATGTCTTCTTCTTGTCACTCTTAATCCTCATCAAGCTTTTTTAATGTCATTGACGTCAAATTTTATTTTGTCAAATGTTTGTAATAGAATATTAAATGAGATATTAGATTGATAAATATTTAAGATTTATGGAGTCGGTGTTCTAATAAGATAATGAATTTTAATATAGGAAGGAGTTCTTGTGAATAAGAAAAATCTTGATAATTAGGGTTTGGTTCTCCTATGAGTACCTTGTGCATATCTACGTATTGATAGGGAGACAACAAGATATAAAAAAATACTTTTGATACTTGAAGGTTTTTTATCTAGAGTTTCTAAAAAGGGTGAGAAAATGGTATAAATTCTTTGGAGTTTACATAATAGGGTCAGCAAAGAAATGTATATTGAGTGAGGATAAATAAAGATCTTGCAATTAATCTCATATAGTGAAGAATTTAATTTTTTCATGGATAAAAGAAGAGATTTATCGAACCACATTAATCTTACATTAACTTTCAGGTATATATTTGATTATTGATCCCTAGGTGATTTGTTTTTATTTTTTAATTTTTCTTTGATATCATAGATCAAAAGATCTGATGGCCAGAGATACAATAAGAAGAAGTGTGAATTAAAAATATGTACAAAAATTGATAAAATATTCATTAAGAAAGAAATTGATGAGATTGACAAGTATTTTAGGATTTGTAGAGCCAATATCTAATGAAATAAGGAATTTTAATACAACGAGTTCTTATGAAAATATTGATAATTTAGATTTGATTCTTCTATAAAATATCTGATGTATTTTTAGATTTGGATAAAGAGAGAACTATGAATGATATTTCTGATACCGTTTTTAAGATGGGTGAGAAAAGGATGTAAAATTTTTAGAACTTATACACGAGAGGATTTACATAAAAATATGTGCTTTAGTGGAAACCTTAACATCTTATAATTAATCTATCAAACCATATTAATTTTAAGTTTGACTGTATAATAAATACATTCTTAATTATTTATTTTCTGTTTTCGTTTTTTATTCTCTTCCTACCAATAATTTCTTAATATCCGAAAACTAAATAAAAGGTAAAAAAGAACAGGCAGAATCCAGCAGTAGATGCTCCACATACAAACTACCCGATCTTGCCACTACTTTCACGCCCATTCCTCCTCTTCTCTCCTGCAGAGTGAGTGGGTGAATGAGTGCCTCAAAGCAGACAAAAACTAAGCATTCATCGCGGTGAGGGAGTCACCCCACTGCCACACACAGACAAACCCACCACCGGCGCAGCTCTGTCCCTTCCAACGTTTAACCAAGCACTCTCTCACTCGTCAGAACTGGCTTCCTTGGCACTTGAGCCTCAAAATAACAGCGTCTTCGGGGGCATTTACGAGGCCTGGCAGCTCACATACTCTACATTGCCACCAAATCCTAGTAGCAGCAGCCTCTGAGATGGGTTGGAGCAGGAGAGTCCTGTGTGTCCGTGGATTCTCCTGGATCGTTTCGGCTTTGCTTCTGATGCCCCGGGAAACCCATGCTGGTGTTGGTTCTGATGCTGCGGTTAGGTTCTTGGAGGCTCCTCCGGCATTCTCGGCATCGTCGAGGGCCACATTTCTGTTTGAGGTCACGGAGAGGAGGAACGGTGGCGCATGCCGCAGCTGCAGCATCACCTGCAAGGTTCGTGGGTTCAATCCCTTCTTCACGCCCATGCACATTGATCTGGAAGCTGAATGTTGTATTAACTGATATGGTAATTTTGTATGCACAAGGCGGTTGCACTTTTGACACTGACAAGGTACATATATCGGACTAGAGTATAAGACTCCTTTTTCTTCTCTTTGAGAGTCTCACAATTTATCAGGATACGTAAAAGCTTCAAGAGTGAAAGATTATATGAAGCAATTAACTATTTATAATGCAGTAATTTTATGAGAATTATAAAATTTTCAGGATCCAAGAACTACGAGGATCGCAGACAACATATGAGCTAAATAATGGTGAACAGCAATTTCGTTTCTCTTAAAATTGACTATTGGTAGATTTCTTCTGTGCCTACTTTGGGATTGAAAATTTGCTTGCGAGTTATCAGCTAAAAGTTGCATTAGCATTTAGTGGCCACTAGGTTGTGCTACAGATCATGGAAAGAAGTATTTCGTCTATCTTGAAAGAATTTCTCTGGTTCTAAGAACTTTCACTGTCAGAAAACCAACACCAATACAATGTTAGCAAGGTGTTCAACTTGTATTTTGTTAGTTTTGGAAAATTTGACCGGTAAACATGTAAAAGAAGCAGAGTGATAAAAAGGATACAACTACAGAAACAAGTTAAAGAGAGAGGGAATTTTGTTTAGTGAGACTGTTTCAACATTATGTCTGGAATAATTTGGATAAAAACGCACAACACACTTTTGTGTCCTTAGTTAAAGTTAGCTAAAATAGATGGTTAACCTTTTGGTGTCTTGAGCCTCTCATCTCTTTTGATCCTCCTTATAAGACTACTCATTTCCTCAAGAATATCTTATTCGCTGAATGCACACATGTTTTAAGTCAAACAAGTCCTCCAGGTATTCAGGTGCTTTACTTTTCACTGTATTTTGGACATTTTATCTTAAAAATGATTGGTATAGATCTTAAGGCCTACTGTTGGGATTGCATCAACAATGTAGGATGAGACCTGTTCATAAAATAAATGGCTCTTATCTGCTTATATTCAGACATGAGACAGATATCTGAGGCCAAGAGACTAGAGAAGTAGATATCTAGATTTTTAAAGTTGTGATTTCTGCTCTGTGTTCTAGACATGTAAATTTGAAAATTTGCTCTGTTTCAGGATGGTGGAATCTTCAACTTTTACTCAGAGAGTCTAGTCAAGGGTTGGACAATGAACATCTCTGATGTGATTCTGTTTACTAATTAATTTATAAAGATGGTTGAAAGGTTTGTTACAAAATAATATCTAAAATTTTCAGAAGGTGCTGGTAACCTTTTACAGTCTGAGCAAAAAAATATTTTAGTAAATTTTGAATTGAACTTAAAGAAAGGACGAACCTGATACATAAGACTCCTGCCAATCCAGGGTGTGGGAAGGATTAATCATGTGACGAGGGAGATTGTTTGCATTACTTGAACCCTGGTTACCCATGTACTAAATTAGCAATCTTCCTATGATGCCAAGACTTCCCCCCTTCTTAAACTAGATATCCTCAATATATTTTAGTATAGGTGGGAAATTAACTTACATATATCCTAGTAGATTTAGGAGTCTTCTTGATGACTTTATATATAAGAAAAGCCATAAATTTTAATCACTATATATCTTTTATGATTTATGAATAAAATGATATTCCACATGGCAAATTCCATAAGTCTTTAAGGCATAGTTATGGAACCCAGAGAAAAGAAGAAATGGAACCTTGGCCTATCAGTTCAATAATTAGATCGTTTTTAATCCATAATGATTGAAATGCCCTTGATTGTAATTATCCTTTTATTTTATTTTGAGGGCATTTTAGTCTTTCAAGAGAGAAAATTTGAATTCTTTTCTCATCCAGAAGAGAAAATTTCAATAGATATTCCTTATGCCCACCAAAATTTGAGTTCTTATCTCACCCAGAAATCAGAGAGTTGAATGTACTTTTAAACAAATATAGAAGATATAATGATTCATAACTACTTAGAGAAAGACAATTCTAAGTCTTAATTTCAAAATTTTTAGCATTCATGCCACTGTATTTTCCATCAAGGAGTACAGAGTATACACAAGTCATATTGTTTGAGGAAATTGAAAGTATTTGAAATAGACATGGAATATTTTGTGATCAATTGATTAATTTAAAGAGTTGTAGGTAGAGGAAGATGATTTGCAAATTGTATCACTCTTGTTGGTGTGTTTCGGATCACAATTTGTTTTGTTTAGCAAATTTTAATATTTTTAGTGCTTAGAATCCTAATAACTGGTACACATAGAAATTACAATGTTTGTTTCTAGCTTTATTATATGTTTTATGAACATTTTAAAAGTCTTACTATCAGGCATGTGTATCAGCTCACTTCATATGATGTTTTTCCATATCTTATGGTCATGTCATGACTGCTTTGAATTAATAGCTAGAGTACTAAAGAAACAATGAACTCCATTATTTAATCACTAGTTATGACAATTAGTCTAACAAAGAATTTACATATTTGACCAACACTCTGTCTGACCATGGTTGTTTTAAGTTTTAACATAATGCAGCTAGATAACTACAGTTCCTCTGCTTGTGAACCAAAAGAAGTTACGTACTCAGGCTTGCTTGAAGGAGATCATCTGTTTGAGGTCTGCATCAGTGGTTCTCAAAGAGTTCGCTGTGCTAGCTATAAATGGATTGTTGGTTAAGAAACTCCCCTGTCATTCCTGTTTCTCTTTGATAAATTTAGTTTCATTTTGACTTGAAGTTACCATGTTCCTTATATCATCTCTTCTTTCAGTTTTATGTTGAAAATTAGTAAATAATATTGAATAGATGTTGTATTTCGGAAGTTACAAAAGGTAAAAGAAAGAGATTAAGATCTTGGTCAAACACTAGTTTCAGTATCTAGTTGGATGTGTATTTTATCAATATACCAAGCAGTATAATGATCTGTAACATTCAGTGTCACCAGAAATGCTGACCTGTTTACTGATTGGTACAACCAAAACTTAATTTCTTGCCTTAAGAGATATTATATTATCTAAAGTGAAAATCAAGTCAATTGTGTATAATCTAGTCAAATTTGTTAAATATCTTTTGATCAGAATAATTGCTATTGATTTATGTTAGGACTCTCAGGTCTAGATTTTATTAATATTTAAATAAATCCTGGTTTTGTTGAATTGGGAAATCATTTTATATTATTTTAGTATCTTTAAAATAATCTTTTTTCATTATTTTTAATAGTTACTTTACGGATTCTCAAAGCTTGGTTGAGTGATTTAATGAATAGTAGTCATATTTTAAAGATTTAAATCTTGATCTGATGCAAATTTTGGCAATCTATTGGATAGGTAAAACACCAGTTACCAATCTTTACCAATTTTAACTGAAAACATAATTAAAAAATGTGGTCCAATATTGTTCTATGGTTGACTTGGTTACTGTGGTACACATTATATAGACCTGTATTTAAAACCTTGATTTTAGGTACAGATTGTATTGGGAGAGTTTCCTAAATTAGGTCGGACAATTTAGGAAATTCTTGATGACTTTAAATGAGATTTATGGGTCCCTACAGAGGAATATGTCTACTGTATAGTATAATTTTCATTTATTTTTAAGCCCCAGATTGATTAGGATCTACTTATATGAAGTTTGCTTATTGAAGTTTTTATATTGAGGAAAAGTGGCTTTTGTTTGCTGTTCTGAGTAATAAAAGATAGTTTTGTTTTCTGCTGGATGGCACAGGTATCTCTTTCCTTATTTTCTCTTATCTATTTATTTTCTTGCATCTTATTTTTTCCTGATATGATAGCAGAACTGCTGCTATTTTTAGCAATAAAATCCCTTAAATTGCTGTTATCTTGGTGCAACAGGCCATAATCTGTTGAATTTGACTCAAACAATACTGGATCCACCTTCAGTATATGGATATTTATTACCAACTTTTCATCTGTGTGCTTTTTGTCATCATCTTGTTCAAAACTAAGAGCATGTTGTATTATTAGTTATTTGTTAGCTATCTGGCAACCAAGTAATAAGATGGGTGTATGCTAGTTCCTAATTTCATAAAGTTTGGACTTTAAGGTTTTGTCTTGAATTCCTTAAATGGATGGTTTTAACAAGTTATATAAGCATAGCAAGTAATTTTTCTCATGATAAGCAGTTTACCAAGAACTTTCTCTTTGGATACCTAGTTTATAACTCTATGATCAATTTTACAAATTTATTTGAAAAATTCTCTGAAAAGATCTGCATATAAAGCTAGATTGATTCATTAACTTCCGTGCCTGAACATGGCACTGCTTTAGAGGATTATCTACTTAATAATTATAAATAGAATTACATCTGTGATAAGACGTATGTCTCCAACTTGTTTACTAATACCCTTGGTGATTATTTATCCAACCTAAACCATGTCTTTGACAGCTCATGCACTATACATTCTAACTTTGTTGTCCTTTCTCTGCAGATACAATTTCCCCCACTGCATGCATTTCTGCTGCATCATCTTTCACAAATGCTTTGAATGTATCAGTAAATGTTTCTTTCAGTGAACCCTGCAACAATGGAGGTGGATTTAAGTGCTCCTCTAGTAAATGCAATGTGAGTACGCAGAAAACTTGAAAGTTCTACTCAAAGACTAATTATCCCTCTTAGGTTCACTATACAACAAATGTTGTTCTTCATTTTTCACATGGATGTGTAATTTCTTACCTCTTTATTCTCCTGTCACTCTCTTTATACATAATCTTACTATTACCTGTCCAGCATCTAGTTTATCAGTATAATCTGTTCCAAATTTCTGAGTCTTGGATACTTATCCTCAGTAGCTTGAATTATAATCTTGTTTACCATAATGTTGCCAAGTATTAGGATTTAGTCTTGCCATTCTACCTTAATCTCTCATTTTCTCTTTATTCTTTTTCTTTCCCCTTAAGTTTCAGTATCTAATTGCTTCTTCCTATAGCTTCTTGTTTATGGAGCTGGCCATGTTTTACCATCTACTCTCAAGGTTCTTCTTCCTGACCGAGTATTTACCCTTATGGTGGGTATATCAGCTGATGTTCAGTTTGGTCGATTGGTACTGGTCATGGATAAGGGCTTCTGTATGGACAGTGCTGGGAACAGTTTCGAACGAACATCAAATTCAAGTTTCATATTACATTTTGGTATGCTATCTGCTTTATCAAATTTCTAAATCATGGTTCCGACTAATTGCAGTAAGCAATTTTTTTTCTGAATATTTTTAAATAAATCTGAGATTACACTAAGTTCTGTATAATAAGCCTAATAAATTATGCCACTTGTAAATTTTGTGCCCACTTTGATTTCACGTATGCTATGAGGTGCGAATGAAAAACTTTTTATATGAAATTTTCAATATTCTCATAGTATTGAGCCATATCAAGAATTATGTTCATGCTGTGCTTTACTTGATTATTTTTCAGCAATATTTTATAATGTATTTTTGTAAAGGATAAATTCAAATGCATATATGTTGTCTTTGTTACTGCCCTTTTACCTATCCTCTCTTGCCATTTGTGACTTGCAGATAGAAGGAGTGTCTTCATGAACTTGACAACTCACATCCCGAAGAAGTCACTTCAACTTAATGGCGAGCTTAGAACTGCAGAGGCTACTAACACTTATAAGGGCTTAAAAATATATTTATCTTTTTCAGAGCCAGTTCTTAATTCATCTGAAGAAATTCTAGGCCTTCTTCATTCAACTTCTGGTTCACTTATTCCTACAAAAAGGAATAGCCTTGGAAACCGTCGCTTTGGCTATTTAGTAAGCTGGTTTGAATATTCATGTTAATTATTCTACTGTTATTGATATAATGCACCCTTCTTTTTTAAAATTAATTCCATGACTACCTTTCTTGTTTAGGTACACAGCATTTCAAGCATGACTGTTGTTACCATAAGTTGTGATACTAACAATATAATCAGCAGACAAGGGACACCAATTTCTCCATCAGATCCAATCACATTCCTCTATGGTATTTTCTTCTCTTACAGGAGTATGAAACTATATTCCAACATTCCAGTTGCATGAATAAGTCCATGTTCAATTTCTGCCAACTATCATCTGCTCCTAGATTACATTGCAATATCTTTTCTTAATTGGACCATTTCCACAAGTAATAGAACCTCATCATACAGAATAGAACACTGCCACTTACAAAACCTTAAGGCTATGTTTAGAAACACATTTGCATTTTTAATGTGCACTTTAAGAAAAGGGTTTGAGCAAATGTGTAATTGTGGAATGCTTTTAAGTATTTGGTAAATAATATATAATAACAGTATTTTAAATGTGCATTGATGTAAGTGTTATTTAGTAAAATTGTATTTCAAAGGTCAATTGAATTTTTTGTGACAAATTTATCATTGTAATATATTTAATATATATTCAAAAGTGAACACATGTTTTTTATTTAAATAAATAAAATAAATAAATGAATGTATATAATCTTATAAAAAATTTATATGGCCCAAATATATAATAAATGAATAATATATTCATAATAAATAAATATAAAATAATCTTTAAAAGTAAAGAAATAAAATTTTACCTTATAGAAATATAAATCATATTGATTTCTCATTAAATCATTTTGACAATCTTGTAATTTTAGATAAAATCATAGGGTAATTTCAGAATTTAAAAAATTACATTAGCATCCCGTAAATACTGAAATAATAATGCTACCCTGATGTAGCATCAATATTTAAGCATTTTCAATATAACATTTAGATCATATGTGATTTGAAAAAAATATTATCAAGTACCAATTCACATTTAAAATGTGTATTAGGCCCTCAATTCACATTTCAAATATATTCCCAAACGCACCCTAAGTCCCTAGAACATTAGAGAAGGAATCCGCTTAACCCTACTACACCATGTACAATTGTCAACTAATAAAAAAAAACAACAAGTAAACTTCTAATTTTATCATCCAGATCAACCTTAAGTAAGTGCCTTCCTTGGAATAGGACAAAATAAAGACCACTTTTGACAAGTTGTCTATTGTTAAATTTTCAATAATTTTTGAAGTCAAATAAATTTGAATGTTTCGGACTTTCTATGCATCTATGAGTTGTATCGTTATCCAATGCATGTAATTTGATAATGTAAATATAGATGCTCAAAGGCCTTCTGCAAGGTTAGTGACAACTTTTAACACATCTATGACTTGATCATCATCATCCTTATCTAGTGCATGTTATTTGGTACTGAAATATAGATGCTCAAAGGCCTTCTGTAAGATTAAGTACAACTTCTAACATGAGGACCAGACAACATAAAATACCAGTGCTGATAAAGTTTGTGAAGCCTGTTTTTGACTTTAATTCTTCAGCTATAAGAATTTCTGGAGGATATATACTGAGGTATGTATTTGAATGCTAATGAATTCTTGTATTTGGAGGTTTATCATTCTGTGCTCTAACACAAGTTGGTTTAGTAAAACAAACTACTGATGACTTCCTTTTGACTTTGGGATTAGCTTTCACGAAATAACAATGAGCATATACATCATTGAGATCAATGGCAATGATAGTCTTATATCTGTGGAAGTTCCTGAAAATAAGACAGTAGATATTGCTGGAAACAAGAACCTTCGGTCAAATATTCTACAACTGAAGCACTGTAAGGCTTTCTGTCTTCCATATAAAAAAAAATTCTCATATCATTTGATGATTGTTCCTGTTCTAACTTCAATATATTATAGATCACTTACAAGTTCAGCCTTTTAGTTAAAATGTCAGAATCAATATGCTTTATGCAGACCTGGTAGATGAAGTGAAATAAAAAGAGGCCCTAAAAAAAATGCATGATTTCCTCTTATGAAAGGAAATATCACTGATACAGAACTGATGTCAATGGGTGATGAGGATTTTAAAATAATTTGTGTTGATATAGGAGGTTTTCAGACAATGCAACTTTTATGTTCTTTGAGTAGTCAGAAAAAGGTTTCTGGTCACTATTGAAAATTTATTGATATTCTTGTTGAGTTGATGGTAGGAATTTTTTGGTCATGGTTGTCCTAGTCTGATTTAGATCGAGTAGTCTGGTTTTTGATAGATGGGGCTCTCTTTTCAGTTTTTCATGGATTTTCAAATCAATGATCTTCAGTGTTGATTTTCAAATGAATGTTCTGTGAGACATACTTCTATTCCACATACACCTTTACCTTGTAAATTATTACTTAAGCTTAAGTGGGTATATATATATGATTTCATAATTTTTTTCATTTGTCTATATAATATAAATTCACTTGCTTATTTTCATTTTTGAATGAAATATTCACTTATTTATTTCTCACACATGATTTTCTATTTATTAGGTTGTAATGTTCTTTTAAATATTTTAAATGAATTTCCTACTTCGTCACTTACATGACAGCATACTTCTTTTGTAGTAGTGAAATTCTTGTACATGTGTGTTCTTTTATTTCTTCTAAAGCACTTAATTGTCTTCTTTGTTTAGCTCATTCTCAGTCAAGATCACTTAACCATTTCAAAATTCTTGAGCTAAGTCAATATTTATTTCTTCATCTGTGTATGTTTAGTTGCAGTCCTCAAATAGTATATAATAAGAGAATATTATTTAAAATGGTAAGAAAATGTCCAAATGAGGCTTGTAAATGTCATGGTTAGACTGTGAGTTGATTAGGATTAATGGTGCACAAAGAGAAAGCTGTAAGAAAATTCTTTGATACCAACTTGTTTTTCTAAATCATTATAGTAGAAATACAATAAAAACTAATGCGGAAACGAAATAGCATACCTCCAGCCATTGTTGTCAAGAATTTTTGCAGAGGTTTCTTCTTGAACTTTGGCACTTTTCGGCTCAGAACTCTCGCTTTAGATGGTGTAGGAAAGCCTTTTTGCTTCAAAGAGATGATCGAGCCCAGGGACCAAAATTCTCATATATATAGATGTTCTCCCATCAAGAACATTTATTATCACCAACTCATAACGTTCAAGAATTAATTCAAATTTGTAACGTTTGGACCATAATGAATAACTTAATGATATTAAATATTTAATAATATTGGTTACATTTAGAATGAAAAATCAAAATATTTAAAACACAATAAATGAAGAAATTGATTATAATGAATTATGAATCTTAATGAGAACGGTTACATTATTATTAAATATAATATTTAATAATAACGGTTACATTCTCGCACTTGGTCCATACGTTTAGCTTAATAATTTAAATTAATCTTTCTCGAACAACTTTATTAAGAAATAAATACATGAATCATAGCGATAAGTCCTCTAAGAGCGAGTATTATCATCCATGTATCACGATGTATTTGGTTTCTTATTCTTAATGTGGTAATATTACTTAATGAATAAACCTTATGTTTATTCTTGGTCCAGTAACAATATATTTTCTCAAAATAACGTGCATATGAATGAGAAAATTTCACAATATATAAGAGTTTCAATACAATTACAAAGTGGAACCAAGTCCCATTTTCTCTACATGATCCTTGAATTTTAGAGGTGACATGCCTTTAGTCAAAGGATTAACAATCATTAATTCAGTGCTAATATGCTCAATGATCACTTTCTTTTCTTTTACACGTTCTCTTATAGCTAAATACTTAATGTCGATGTGTTTACTTCGACTTCCACTTTTATTATTTTTACCCATAAAGACAGTAGCTGAATTATCACAGAAAATTCTTAATGACTTAAAATTAGAATCCATGATTCTAAGCCCAAAAATGAAACTCTTAAGCCATACACCATGTGAAGTAGCCTCAAAACAGGAGACAAACTCAATTCCATGGTAGAAGTAGCAGTCAAGGTCTGCTTAGCGCTTCTCCAAGAAATAGCTCCATCAGCCATCATAAAAATATATCCTGATGTTGATTTACAAGAATCAACACAACCGGCGAAGTCTGAATCTGAGTAACCAATCACATCCAGATTGTCTGTATGTCTATACATAAGCATGTAATCTTTGGTTCCTTGTAGATACCTCATCACTTTCTTTGCAGCTCTCCAGTGGTCATACCTGGATTACTCTGATATCGGCCTAGCATCCCCACAATAAATGTAATATCAGGTCTAGTACAGACCTGAGCATACATAAGGCATCCTACGGCAGAAGCATATGGGATGTTTTTCATTGATTCCCTTTCAAAGTTGTTCTTTGGGCATTGGTTCAAATTGAACCTATCACCTTTCACAATGGGAGCAATATTTAGTGAACAATCTTTCATCCGAAATCTTTCTAAAAGTTTATCGATATAGGTTTCTTGTGATAGACCTAAAATGCCTCAAGGTCTATCTCTATGGATCTTAATGCCACTGAAATAAGATGCTTCACCCATATCCTTCATGTCAAAATTTTTAGAAATGAATTGTTTCACCTCATGCAGTAAATTCTTATCATTGGTTTTAAGCAAAATATCATCTACGTATAAAACAAGAAAACATATTTTACTCCCACTGACCTTCTGGTATATACATTGATCCATGAGATTTTCAACAAATCCGAATGAAGAAATCACTTCATAGAATTTAAAATACCATTGGCGAGAGGCTTGTTTTAAACCATATATAGACTTCTTAAGCTTACAAACCAAGTGCTCACCAACACTAGAGGAGAAACCTTCAGGTTGTTTCATATAAACCTCTTCCTCTAAATCTCCATTAAGAAATGTCATTTTCACATCCATTTGTTGCAACTCAAGGTCAAAATGAGCAACTAATTCCAAAATGATACGAAGAGAATCTTTCTTAGATACAGGAGAAAACGTCTCCATATAATTGATTCTCTCCTTTTGAGTAAATCCCTTTGCAACAAGTCTTGCCTTATATCTCTCAATGTTGCCTAACAAATCTTTCTTAGTTTTAAAGACTCATTTGCAACCAATAGCCTTTGCTTCATTAGACAACTCTACAAAATCCCAGACTCCATTGCTCATCATGGAATTCATCTCTTCTTTCATTGCATCAAGCCACAAATTTGACTCTTTACAACTCATGACTTATGAAAATATTTCAGGATCATTTTTGGCTCTAATATTATAGTCAGATTCTTGTAGGTATACAATATAATCACTAGGGATTACTGATCTTTTATTTCTAGTAGATCTTCTTATTGATGTACTAATGTTTCCCTGAGGAACTTGTGGTTCATCTAGTTGTTCAGGAGATTGTTGTAATTCCTGAACTGCTTGATCTATTAGAATAGTATCAACAACTTGTGGAATTTAAATGATTGGTTGTTCAGCACTAGTTTGTACTTGAGGAGTGCTATGAACTATAACCAATCTATCATTTGATGTGGAAGGTTGAGATTCTATATGATCATGTACGGAAACTATGTTCCTGAAATGATCGCTCCATTAATCACATCATCCTCAAGAAATTTAGCATTTCTTGATTCCATAATCCTAGTTGTGTGAGATGGACAATAGAACTTGTAACCTTTGGACTTTTCGGTATATGCAATGAAATAACCACTAATAGTCCTCGGGTCCAGTTTCTTCTCTTGTGGATTATATATCTTGATTTCAGACGGACATCCCCAAAAGCGCATATGTCGCAAACTCGGTTTCCAACCTTTCCATAATTCAAATGGTGTCTTTTGGACAGCCTTGGTTGGAACTCGGTTTAATATATACACAGCCGTCGGTGCTTCAGTCCACAAGAGCTTAGGAAGATTGGAGTTGCTAAGCATACGTCGCACCATGTCTAATAATGTTCGGTTTCTTCTTTCTGCCATACCATTCTGGTCTGGAGAAACAGGCATAGTGTATTGGGCAACAATCCCATGTTCCTGAAAAAACTTAGTAAAAAGACCAGGTGCTTGTCCATTTTCAGTATATCTACCATAATATTCTCCACTCCTATCTGATCTCACAATTTTAATTTGTTTACTATATTGGTTCTCAACTTCAGCCTTAAAGATTTTGAAGGCATCCAATGCTTCATTTTTGTTATGAAGCAAATATATATACATATATTATGAGTAATCATCTATAAAGGAGATAAAGTATTTATGACCATGTATGTCCATGTCTGGACAACATATGTCAGTATGAATGATCTATAATATGTCTGAACTCTTATTAGGACCCTTTTTTAGACTTATTGGTCTGCTTTCCCTTAATACAGTCTACATATGTCTTAAAATTAGTAAAATCAAGAGTACTAAGTACCCCATCTTTAACTAATCTTTTAATTCTCTCTATGGAGATATGTCCTAATCTCCGATGTCATAATATTAGAGGAATCCTCATTAATATTACACCTTTTAATGCCAGCGTGAACATGCATTGAACTTTGAGTATTATCATTTTGTAATAAAATACGGTAAAGACCATTAGACAAAATACCATTCCCAACACAATCAGAATTATATAATAAACGAAATGGTGTGTCTTTAAAATTAAAGGAATACCCAAATGGTATGAGTCTGGAAATAGAAATTAAGTTTTGTGAGAAACTTGGTACATAAAAGGTCCTTTCCAATTTTAAAACAAAACCACTATTTAAAGTTAAAATGCATGTTCCAATTGCCTCAACATGTGAGCCCATCTTATTTCCTGATAAGATGCTTTGCTCACTTCCCATTGGCTTCCTTAGGTTTTGCATACCCTACAAAGAGTTTGCAATATGGATTGTTGATCCAGAGTCAATCCACCAGGTGTTAATATTAACATTGACTATATTAGATTCATAACACACAAACGAGGTTAGTTTACCTTTCTTTTCAAGCCATTGTTCGAATTTTGTACATTCCTTCTTCATGTGTCCCTTTCTTTTACAAAAGGAACACTTTGCTTCTTTCTTGATATCAGCTTAGGATGGTATTTTGCCTTTTTCCTGCTTGGCTTGGTTTGGTTTGGTCAGTTTTATTCTGATTGGCTTGGTTTTTGTCAGTTTTATTCTTCCCGCGAGTGGTTACCACCAATGCACTCTCACCCAGTTCCATCACTAGCCTCTCATCTTCTTGAACACACATGGTTATTAATTCATTGATTGACCATTTGTCCTTATGTGTATTGTATAAAATTTTAAAAGAATCATATTGAGGTGGAAGGGTGCTCAGAATATAGTGCACCAGGAAGGATTCTGACATATTAACCTCGAGTTTCTTAAGTTGAACCGTAATATCTTGCATTTGCTCACGCATACCCTTTATGTTAGTGAGTCTAAGGGATGAGAATTTCATTATTAGGGTACTTGCTAGTGCCTTATCTGAAGTGACGAATTGCTCATCGATAACTTTTAGCAAGTCTCGGATATTTTCATGCTGGTCAACAGAACCACGTATGCCAGTAGTTATCTTAGTTTTGATAAACATCACGCTGAGCCGATTAGATCGCTCCTATCGCTCATATAACGTGATCTCAGTTAGAGTGCTGGTATTAGTGACTATAGGTGGTTCGTCTTTCCTAATAGCATAATTAATATTCATCCACCCTAAATAGAGGAGAACCCTCTCCTTCCATATCTTATAGTTATCACCACTAAGTTCGAGAATATCACATCAAATATGAGAGAAATTAACAGTCTGAGAAACTGCATAAAATCAAACATGCTTATGTCAAAATTTGAAGCTTAATAGTCTAAATTATATGTTTTACCAATGTGTAACATGCCAAAAAATATGAATCTCATGACATAAAAATTGCCTATAGGCTAAATTCTTAATTCAAATAGATTCAAAAGGTCTTTATGGTAAAACTATCAAATTATATTCCAATTCATAATCCCTGTGGGTAAATTATGAAAATAATCTGATATTTTATCCTGATTAATTATATTAAATATAATAAAAGATTCTGTAGGATAACAATTATTATATGAAATATAATCAGTCACAATATGATGTATAATTACTTATGTGATCCTTATTTTAACTTTATATATAATTTTAATTAATTAAGAATGCTGTGGCTAATTCTTAACTAATTAAGATTATATGGATCACTAGACATTTTAAACATAAAAAATTGACTCATAAGCATAATTTTATATAACTAAATATGCATACGTAATATGAGCATTTTACCGACTAAAAATGTTGAAAATGATATTTCCTCATGATTTTCAACAAAATATATCAAGAAGTTTCCAAGAAGAAACCAAAATCAAATCATTTTCATAGCATAAAAATGAAAACTCTTTCATATCAAGGCAGAGGTCAATCGGCTCTGATACCAAATGTAAGAAAATTCTTTGATACCAACTTATGTTTCTAAATCATTATAGTATAAACACAATAAAAATTGATGCGAAAACGAAATAGCGTACCTCCAACCATTGTTGTCAAGAATTTCTACAGAGGTTTTTTCTTTAATTTTGGTATTTCTCGGCTCAGAACTCTCGCTTTAGATGGTGTAGGAAAGCCTTTTTGCTTCAAAGAGATGATTGAGCCTAGGGACCAAAATCCTCATATATATATATGTTCTCCCATCAAGAACATTTATTATTACCAACTCATAACGTTCAAGAATTAATTCAAATTTATAACGTTTGGACCATAATGAATAACTTAATGATATTAAATATTTAATAATAATGGTTACATTTAGAATGAAAAATCGAAATATTTAAAACATAATAAATGAAGAAATTGATTATAATGAATTATAAATCTTAATGAGAACGGTTACATTATTATTAAATATAATATTTAATAATAATGGTTACATAAGCAACAATATTTCACCGTAACTGATGCTTGATACCTCGATAAGCATTTGATTGTGTTCTTGAGATAAATTATAATTTACCCATTTTTTCTGAAAATGTATGCTTGCACATTTGATTGGTAAAGGACTTGATGCTAAGCAACCTCCTCGGCACTCCTACATGCCTTTGTAATGTAATATTTCAATTTGGACCTTTAAATATGATTACATGAAGGGTTAATAAAATGTCTTATTTTCTATTTATAGTTTGTTATACTGAGCAAACTTCAATTAAGATCTTTTCGCTGCATGTAACAGATACCACACCAACAATATCATCATTTGTTTCTTTAGTTGCTACCAGTGCATTTGCAATAACATCAATGGTTGCAGCATTGCTCACTGTTTCAACTTCAAGCCTCCTATCTTCCGGAGCAGTTTCTAGACAGAAAGCATATCTTGTTTCCGAACCATCAAGGAATCTTTTGGTATAGTACTGAAGCTATTGGAACTTATAAGTTACCAGTATATCAAGTTGCTTTTTCATTTTGATGTTACAAATGAAGCTACAACACTATCTCGGTATTATATGAAGACATATTATGTTCATATGAGTTCCTTTTTCTCTAAACTTTAAAAATATAAAAAAAAAATCAACAATGGCCAAACAAACAGTTAAAAGGGTCAGGCTTATATTAATAATAGAAGTTGATACATTTTAACCTGTGATGTATTCATAATTAACATTTATACCTGATCCTTGTAAAATTTTCTTGTCACTCTTATACACACAAATTTTAGCATTTGACTCATTTGGAAGTTTTAGACCAGGCTATGAATCATGATGTTCTGCTTGCTGATAATTTCTATAATAGTACATGAATGGCAGTGCTCATGGTCAGATTGTTATCTAAAGCTATATATCTTTTTATTGCTTATTAGTCAGCTATAGGCTTGTGTAGATATCATGGGCGGTAGCACATGGTGAACATGGCATGTTAATGGGCCAGCCTGATTTTTTTTCATTAGATGCCAAATTGTAATGCATGCATGTCAAAGATTCTAGGTCAATAGGATGGCTAGATTCAAAGTCTCATTTTATTATCTTGTTCATAACAACCTCCAATTAAGCTTGTACAAAAGAAAAAAAAAGAATAACAATAAGCTAAAATCTGACTTTATTGTCATGGATCTGAGACAAACATGCTCTTTGGGATGACGCGTTAATTTAAGAAATTCTATCAACTAATCATTGAGTACAATGTGATTAAACATGGTGGCCTAATGTTCCATAGGTTGAGATAATTATATAACTTAATAGTTTAACACAAATATGATTTTGCTTGACTTGACTGCTTGATATTATAAACATTTAAGGATTTGGACTTTACATATCATTTGAGACTACTATAATAAGAAGTCCTTCCAAGGTAGTAAATCTTGTACCTTCTTAAGATCTCAGCTAAATAGACGAGTGGCTTAAGAATTCTTTTGAAACAACCTATACTTGGAATAGGAATAGAAAATAAGAATCTTATTCAGAACATACCTCTGAAACTCCTTAATATACCAACTAAACATAAAGATGAAAATACATCTGAGAAGTACAAAAAAACGAAAAACGAAAAAGGTATAATTGCTCATAACTCCAGTGCAATCAGCTTTGTGTGCTAATCCATAAGTGGAGTTCAGATGCCTATAAAGAGTTGGTTGTTGAGACCAAAGGCCTGTGAACCCAAGGTTACCTATTTTGAGTTGCCTGATACAGATTCTGTTAGACAAAACTGGAAAAATCCTGGCCGATATCGATTATACCTATCATCATGGTTTGCAGTACCGGTCTGTACCGCCCGGTACGGGCAGTACGTACCGGTCCGACAGACTTTCGGTATGCGGACCATATGTTACCGTTCCGACACTGTAGCAGTACTGTAGCAGTGCTACAGTGCTCGGCACGCTTGAATATACCGCTCGGTACACCTGGGTGTACCGAGCGGTATACCGTACCGTACCGGTACCGAGCCCAGATCGAAACTCCGGTACGGTACGGTATTACGAACCTTGCCTATCATGACAATAAACTTAATTGATCTTTCAGATCCACCATTTTTTAGTTATAAAAATGTGCTTAACATTCTTCCAATATATGATGGTTAATCATAAAGTGCATTATTATATAGGGTATCAGGATTCTATGGAAAATAATTGCAACCTTAATGCTGGTGTGATCTGATAAATTGGAAAATTGCAGCTCCTATCTGACTGATAGATTGTTCTAACATTTTCTTGAAAAATGTATTTTTTTTTTTATTGTATACTGACTAATAAAGTAGAAAGGAGAGATATCTGCAGTCCTCTTTTCCCGAAGGGAGCACTGAATTCACATTTACAGATTTTATTATCATAAAGCATACTGATTACTTGTATTTCATTTTCTACAGAGAATTTTGTGCCACATCCAGGTCTTTGCACTCTGTAGATGGTTGGTAGTTAACATGCCCATTGAGTATTATGAATTTTCTAGGGGTATAGAATGGAGTATTCCGTACATTCATCTTCCATGGGAAATGGGCTCCAAGACATTTTTTGAAGGTTCTACATCTACATCCGCTACACATTTTGAAGTATGGGATAGGAACAAGTTATATTTTAAATCCTCATCAGTGAGAAACCAAATACTGGAAATGAATTCTTCTGAATATGGAAAGCCACTTACCCCAGGAGAATACATGTCATTTCTTGAGGTCAGGATTTCCTGTCTACACAGGTCTACTTCAATATCCTCAGCAACCATTTGTGTTCTCACTAGAAAAGTTTTGACTTGTATATCTGCAGAATCAGAACATGAAACCTGAAGCTGAATTCATTATGATTTCACGAAATTCAGATAGGTAGGTTAAACAAAGACAAGGTAGATCTTATATTTCTTTTTCTTTTCCTGCTTAAATAAAGACAATGACCTGCTAAGTTTGAAGCACATTATCTAAATTCTCAATATCCTGTGATTTTATTTTTGCAAAATCTTAAAGTTACAAGAATATGTCATAGATTATTTTACCTGTATATTTTACTAAATATGTAACCACACCAAAGTCAATACTTCTTGAAACCTTTAGCTGATTTTATTGCAGCGGGTGGCAGTATTTTGGTAGAAACATGTTCTGGTTAGCAGTGTTTGGTGGTGGATTGATCTTTCTCCATGTGGTGATTCTTTGCATTTTGAAATTGAGGAAGAACTTAGAAAAGCAGAAAGAGTTTGGAGCCCTTGTGTTCCCAAGGTTTGAGATATTTTTGATATTTCTTGCATTGCCATGTATATGCCAAGCGTCTGCTGCAATAATTAAAGGTAACTGCAGCAAAATATAAAACATATTTTTTCTTATTCTTCATGCATATCTAGATTGACACTGTAATGTGGTTATTTACAGTGGAAGAACTCAGTATAATGTCTAAGAGATTGATTAAATTTATTAATGATATTTAACAAAGTCAGTATAACCTTTGAATAGCTTATCATTTTGCAAAACTGAAGGCATTTTTTATGCTAAAATAACTTTTCTGTGTGACTGACTTCCTCTCTTGTTGAAACAAGGGAGAACATCTACAGGTATAGTTGTTGGAACTGTACTCCTGGGTGTCTCCACATCTTTCCTTATATCATTGCTATTGATCCTCTCACTTGGCATCTCAATGGGTAAGCTTCTGTGGTACAAAGAAGTTCATCAAGAAGGAGAGAAGCTCCGTTGGTACCACGAGTTCGTCCATGTAGCTCTAGGTCCTGGAAAAAGAGGCCAATGGGCATGGCAAGGTCAACAGAGCTCAATTAATCAAACAATACTAGGCCCCTTATTTGAGGATCTCCGAGGGCCACCAAGGTGCATGCTCACACAAATTGCTGGTAGGGGAAACCAAGGAAAATATGAAGACCGAATAATTGCTTCTGGAGATGAAACTGAAGTTGCAGAAGCTCCATTTATCCAGAAGCTCTTTGGCATGCTCAGAATTTACTATACGCTTTTAGAATCAGTTAAATGTGTCTCTCTTGGAGTTTTGGCTGGTGCGTACTCATCAAAAAGACCTTCTAGGACACCAACCCTGATTATTTTGTCCATCACCTGCTTTCAACTCTTTTTCCTTGTCTTGGAGAAGCCCTTTATCAAAAGGAAGGTTCAGTTTGTGGAAATTATCTCAGTAGCTGGTGAAGTTGGTCTGCTTGGGGCTTGTCTGGCTGTACTGGAGAAGGATTTCTTTGGTGCTAATGAGAGGAGACTTGGATTATTCATGCTGGCAATGTTTATTATCATGTTTACTGCACAGCTGGCCAACGAATGGTATGCACTATACCAACAAGTTATTCGACTGAGCCGAACTAGGGACTCATTCTCTTCAGGGTTAAAGAGAGCACTTGGTGGAATTCTATTAATTGTGCTACCTACAACAAGGCTGTTGGCAGAAATGGTTGAGCAGTCATCCTCCAGCCATGGAGAAGGAGACAGTGGAACTACAGTGTCCCCTATCGGTCAAGTCCAAGGAGCTTCTGGTACGAACGAGAGATCATGGCTGAGACAACTAAGAGAACTTGCGGAGGCTAGCTTCGGTAGAGAGGATGCAGGAGCCCCTAATGACCCTTCAAGTAGCACTAATCAAAGAAGTGAGTTTCAGAATGCAAAGAGAAGCGGAAGTTCTTCTGTTGCATCATCATCTGGTTTCAAGTCAAAGGCAGACCTAAAGGCAAAGTCAAGAGGGTTGTATAAGGATTTGGAGTCCATGTTCTCATCAAAATGATTTGAGTAATTCACCGATGTTTCACTGCATGGTGACAGGTAATATGAGATTCAACCAGGTAATTTTAACGAAGCAAGTTTATAGCTCAAACAAATTCCTGCGGAGGAAGATAGGGTACCTGATCCATTGAACTTTTGAAGGCCAAACGCAGGTGCTCAGAGTAATATGTAGTTTCAGATCCAAAGTTCAGTGCCGATCATTACCAGCAGCAGAAGCAAATAGTTGATATCTAATATTGATTATTCGATATTAGTGGTGCTGTGCCATTTCATTTACTTCTTTAAGATGTATAGGAGCTATCAATTTGTTATGCAACCTGATGAGAAGATAATCTTGTATTCCTTATTTAAATTATGAGATGCATTTCACAATAGATGCATGTTCGGCCTTAAATAATGGTCATCAGATGTTGAAATTTGTGCTATACAAAGTAGCCAATGTTTAAGTGCTACTCTCCAACATGATGATATATTTCCAGATTGCAGTGACTTTGGTGTGCAAATGGTGTCACTGAGTGAAACATTGAATGTGATATCCAGGTTTGCATGTGTCCGACAGTCTATGCTTGTCTTATTAGAAATTTTTTAAAATTTTAAGGAAAAATTTTCTAGTGACACTGCAGCATACTATTCAAATAAATAAATAAATATATATATATATATTTATTTATTTATTTATATATGTATATATATAACTTAATTAAAAAATAATGTAACTCACATGTTACTTTTGTCAAAAATTGTTAAATTTCTAAAAAACCTTAAAATAACTTGCAAAGGCTTAAATTACTTTTCTATTTTAAAACCTTTAAAATATATATTTTAACCCTTAAAAGCATGAAATTATGACTTTTTTTAAATTTACCCAACGTAAGGTGAATTTACACACTTGAATATTATTAGAGAATATTTTCTAAAGTATTGAGAAAATATAAAAAAAAATTTGGTGGCTTTAGTTATATTGTTTTTAGGGTTCTACTCAAAAACAGTAAAACTCACATTCTAATTTTTTTTATAAATTATTAAATTTTTATGAAACCTAAGAAATAAATTGTAAATGCCTAAATGAGAAATTTTTTTTTTAAACCTTAAAATATTTTTTTATTTATTTTAACCCTTAAAAGAATGATATTATGATTTTTTTTTTAATTTTACTTAATTTAAGGTAAATTTACAACCCTTTGGAACAAAATGCACTTGAATATTATAATAGAAGGTTTATGAAGTTTTCATAATACAAAACAAATTTTGGAGACTTGAATTACATTGTTTTTGAATGAGGTTACATTGTTTTTAGGGCCATATTAACAAAGAGTATAATCTTATTTAAAAATAGCATAATGGGTTTACATTGTTTTTAGGGTCATATTAACAAAGAGTGTAATCTTATTTAAAAATAGCATAATGAGTTTCCTTTGTTTTCAGGGCCTTATTAACAAAGAGTGTAATCTTATTTAAAAATGGGACAACTTATATCCTAATTTTTTTTTAAAAAATATTAGAAAAAAAAGTCTAAATAACAATTTTTTCTATTTCAAGCCTTTAAAAGCATGAAATTATGTCATTTTTTATTTTCCCCAATTTTTAGTAAGCCTTAAAAATAACTTCAAAGGCCTAATGACCATTTTATTTTATTTTCTAGCCTTTAAGATAGGTATTTTCATTTACTTCAATCCTTAAAAACATGAAATTATAATATTTTTTATTTTACTCAATTTAAGATAAATTTACAACTCTTTTGGGATAGAAAGTTACTTGAATATTATTATAAATTTTATTCTGAAGTTTTAAAGACACCAAAATTTTTTTGGAAACTTGAGTTACACTATTTTTGGGTCATATTCAAAAATAGTGTAACACACATCCTAATTTTTTTTAAAATTCTTTATTTATTTTTTAAAACTTGTAAATAACTTACAAAGACCTAAATAATTATTTCAAAAAATAGTATAATTCACATCTTAATTTTTTAAATGATCAAATTTATAAATGACTTACAAATATCTAAATATTTATTTTTATATATTTTTTGTCCTTCAAAATATGTAACTTTTTTTGCATCTCTTAAAAGTGGGAAACTAATTTTTTTTATTTTACCCAATTTAAGGTCAATTTACAACCACTTTGAGACAAAAACCACTTGAATATTATTAGATAATATTTTCTAAAGTATTAAGCATAAAATTTTTTAAAGACCTGACTCACACTATTTTTGAGGTTCTATTCAAAATCAATATAATCCTAATCCACTTTTTATAGAAATCCTTAAATTTTCAGCAAAACATAGAAATAACTTACAAAGGCTTAATGACTGATATATTTTTTTAAAATTATAAGCCTTTATAACTGGTAGTTTATTTTTATTTTAGCTCTTAAAAGCTTGAAATTGTATCATATTTTCATAATTATACTAATTTAAGGTGAATTTACAACCACTTGAGGAAAAAACTATTTGAATATTATTACAGATGGTAGTTTTGTAGGAATAAAAAGGATATCTGTGTTTTATTTATTTTTAAATGAGATTACACTTTTTTTTTTGGTGGTATCTAAAAATAAAGTAACCCAATTTTATTTATTTTTTATTTTATTTATTTATAGGAAATATTGAAATTGACTTATAAAATCTTAACGATCATTTTTCTATTTTAAAAGCTTTAAATAGGTATTTTTTTATTATTTCAGATCTTAAAAACTTGAAATTATGCTATTATTTTTGTGAAAATTTTATTGTTTTCTCTAATATTTATATTTTATAATTTTAAGATTAATTTTATATTTATATTTATATATAATTTAATTTAGTAGCTATTACTTACTTTGGACCGATCTTAATTTTTAGTTAGTTAAATAAACTTAGTTGAATTAATTGATCAAATTGAATGAGTTTGTTGAAAAGAATGTGTCGGTTTAATATAAGTTTGAGGAAAAAAAAAGGATAAAGAAGTGATTGAGGTTATTTTTATTATTTTAAAAATTAAGGATTCTCCGGTGGAAAATGTTAAAAGAAAAGGGTGAATGGATTACTTCTAAGGGGCTTTTTTTATAGGGCATTTTGTCCTAAATTGAAGGACCACTTGTCAATTCTCTCTTTGATGTGAATGGATTTCTTGGCCCACTTATCAATCCCTTTTTCTGTTTTAATGGATAAGTTGGGCCGTTATAGTACATACGAAAGAAAGCCCAGTATACAACCTGATGTCGCTGCTCTTTTCTTCACCTCATTACGATCATCCCCGTACCAACTCCTCACTTTTCTTTTCTCTCCTCGGATCCACCGATCCAACCGCACCGACCCATCCCCGCCTGCATCATCATCATCATCATCATCACCACCACCCCATCATCGTCTCTCTCTCTCTCGTCGCAGTTGAATCCCTCTCAGAAAGCGACGATCTTGCACAACCTTCTTGATCCATGGAGGCGGGATCTCCTCCGGCCGCGCCTGCCGACCCATTCGATGAGTTCTTTCCCCAGCAGCACGGCTGCGGCTCCGACGCCGACGTCGCCTCGCCCTCCGCCTCCAACTATTCATCCTGCGACGGTGAGGACTCGGAGCTCGAGCGGTACTGCAGCGCCAATTCGGCGCTCGGCAGCGCCAGCCTCTGCAGCTCCGTCGGGAACTACGCCGACCTGCTCGATTTCTCTGACGTATGTGGCGCGATAGAGAATTCCCAGAGGGGTCGGCTCGGTGGGGACATCGCTGCTTCTTGGGATCGCTTCAATCGGTACTCGGAGGAGGGCGCCGTTACGTCGCCGAGAGAAAATTGTTCTTCCCCGTCCCAGCATCTGCTGGCCTTGTCGGATCGGATGGGTTCGTTGCCCAGAATCAGCACCGGGTCCAGGTTGCGTCCTGCATCTGTCGACCGTCCGGGTGAAAGAACGCAGCTAAGGGTAGTTGAGGACCAGCAGGAAGCAGTGCCGTGTAAAGGGAAAGAAGTAGACTTCTTGGATCGAGATGTGATCTCCATGGGACGTGATGACGGATATTCTGGCCAAAGTTCTTTGCTTTGTGCGATGGCTGGTGCTGAAGAGGTTGGTTCTTTGGGGAATTTAGGCTCTTCCTCTCGTGATGTGATGATGGAATCAGATGAGGATAGACCCTCCAGATGCGAACATTCGGACGGAGAGGACTCGATGCTTGAATATGGTACAGATTGTGAGAATGCAAATGGTCTGTGTGAAAACTTGCGGTGCATTGATGAGACTAAACATGACAACCTTAACCCACTTCTAATGAACTCATCTGTAGCTTACGGTTCTGATGATTTGGATGAGCTTATGCGAGAAAATGGTGGACTTGGTTTACAATCTCTGTCACTTTACCAAGATCAACCTAATTTCCAGCAAACTGTGCCTGCAAAAGTTGATGGACATCTTCCATTACTATCCAACAGTCATGTTATTGATCCTCTTCATGATGTAGAGAAAGATGAGGATGCCGTGGATGTATCAGCAGTGAACCATAAATTCCAAGTTACCGATGAACCTAACTCTGAACTTTCACACAAGGGTAAGTTTCTTCCTGGAGAATATACTTTAGAAGATCAGATCAAGTCTATGTACAAAGGTCTGAAAGGAGATTTCTATTCAATAAGTGATGGGATTGCTGCAGATGTTCATGTGGATGAAGCTCCAGAAAGACAGGTGTTTGGTGAGCCAGCTTCTGCTGACAATGATACTGTCATAAAGATTTCTTCCATTTCAGTTGGAACATCTCGACATGAAAAATGTTTTGGTCAAGACTATGATAAGCCAAGTTTGCTACTGCCAGTGGTCCACAGTGGCCAGAGTTCAAGTTTCCAGATAGAGTTGGACAGGAGTTTAAATTTTACGGATTTATCAGAAGAAAATATTGTAACTGATGAGGTCAGCAAATGCAATTTGCTTTTACTTATGATACAAATGAATCAATAGATATCTCCCATTTGCTATACTTTGTCAACATTTGAGAGGTCTAATTATGACATTGAGTTGAGTTTTGGTCGAATCCTGAACCGTTATAAAGACATCACCATGAATGTGATCTTTTTTCTGTTTAGAGTTGTTTCATAATATGACTAGAACTCATTGAATTTATTTGCAAACAATTAAGTGGATAATACATATCAAATATGTTTTTTTTTTTTTTTTTTTTCACTTAGGCTGCAAACATCTTTTACTAGTTTAGTTTTTATGTTTGCTAATAGCCTTAGGCATTATGTTTGACTTTCAGAGAAGACACTGGATTATGCTTTTTAATGCTTTCCATCCATTGGAAGATGTCATTGAGCTTTGGAAAATCTTTATAAACTGTCAGCTCTGCTTATGAACCTGCCAGTGAAACCTCACTTTTGAACTAAGTTATATTTCCCTGATATCTTGGATAGGAGAGAGAAATGAACTCATTGAATTGAGGAACATACTGTAGCAACTGATGAAGTTGGCTGTAGCATATAGGAAGCAAGAATGTTCAATTTGTATTCTTCAACCTCTAAAGGAAGCTAAGACATTTTCTCCTGTGGGTAGAAGCTGATAGCAATGGTATGTTTTCCCATTTTCCTGATAATCCAGGAACAAAATATTGTCCATGGGCCACTGTTTGCAATTTACTTGCATATCTTCTGATACCTATTATGCAAGAGACAAAGCACCACAAGATGACTGCGAGATTCTAGTACGAATCTAGAATATTGTCCATGGAGTAAAATCTAAAATCTTGTTGGTTTTTATTAAAACAATGCTAGAATCTTGTCCAGGAATAAAATCTAAAAGCTTGTTGGTTCATATTAAAACACTTGCTAGAATCTTGCGAGATTCTAGCATGAAATTAGGATCAGTTTCGAGGTTTTCTATGGTAGGAACTTGAAAGTACTATAGATGACCTTAATTTATGGATATATTGGCCTTTCTATATGCTTTTAAGAATCTATTTAGTTTTTGGTTGTGGATGTGGTTACTGAGTTTTTAATTCAACAATTTTGGTCCAGGTATTGCATTCTAGATTGCAAAGATAATAATAATAAGAATAAAATGGATAAGAAAACCTATCATTCACTATTCTGGTCAGTTATCTTGGCCAAAATTGATGTTATTGAAGTTCTCTTACTTTTAGGCTAAAACTATTGGAACTACATGCTTGGAGACCCATCGTCAAGAGCTACCTGTCTGATCATATGTAACTGCAAACTATTATAAAGTTGGTAATAAAATTTCTCAGTTTGTAGAATATTAAATTATTCATAGAGCTTATATCACAATGAAGCAGAATGAAGCACATTTAGTTTTTGCATTTAGCATGTTTAACCGTAGAAAGGGTATAATTTTGTTGAGTTTGCTTAAAGTCAATCTTACATCATGCATGTATCAAAACTTTTGGTGCTAAAACACTCCTTTGCTTGACAAACTGAGTGTATCCAACAATTAGCATGAACAACAATAACAACAACAACAACTACTACTATTTGGGGTTAGCTACGTGGATCTTTTGCTGCAATTGAAATTTGTAAAAAGCCATATGTTTAGTTAAGTTTAGAGTCTTTTAAGTCTTTATTTATAGTTTCTATTAAAGTCTTTTTAGTTCTTCTATCTCTTCTCATACAACTAATATTAATAATTTTACCTTTCCTAACTATCGCACCTATAGGTCTCCTAAACACATGTTTATACCATTTTAAACGATTTTATCTCATCTTATCCTTTATCGAAGCGATACCTAATTGTTCACGAATAAAAATATTTTTTTTCTTATCTTTCTTAGTAATTGTACACATCTATCTCAGCAACACTTAAATCTATACAGTATTATTGATTTCATAACTATATTGTAAAACTTTTCTTTTAATATCAAAGGTATTTGATGATCACATAAGACTCCTAACGCCCCTTGTCATTTTAACCTGTTTTTCCTCTATGAATAATACCTTCATCGATCTCTCCATCTTGTTGAATAATTGATCCAAGATAATTGAGGTTATTACTTAAAGAAACTTCTTGTCCATCCAACTTAATTATATTTTTGTGATAATTCCCAGTATTAATAAAATTACATCTTATATAATCAGTTTTAGTCTTAATCTAAAACCTTTAGTTTTTAAGGAATGCCTCTACAGTTCAAGTTTATAATTAATTCCACTTAAGCTCTCATCAATTAAGACGATACAATGAGCAAATAACATACATTAGGGGTTCTATCATGTGCATTACTAGTAAGTTCATCTATTATTAATATGAAAAGATAGAAACTTAATGCGGATCTTTAGTGTAGTTTTATGCTTATGAGAAACTCACTAGACACACTCCTTATAGTTCTAACACTAATAATTATATTATCATATATTTAATAACATTAATATAATTAGTGGATATATATTTTTTTTAAAAAATCCACCATAACAATTAGCATGAATCCAATATAACTAACTGTGTCTGGTAGATATAATCCAATAAATTCATCAGAATGTGTTGCCAATTTGACAAAACTTCTAACGGAAGAAACTTTATAAAACCAACCAAAACTGTTAAAGTTGGTCATTTTAACCCAAAATTGAGCAAAACTAGCTTGAGTTCAGATCATTTTTTAATTCAAATTAGCCTACAAGCCTAAGAATCATGATGGACAATCTCTGTTCTCATGTTAAATGTCCTAGGTTAAGAGCCTATTGCTTGCTTTTCTGTTCATATTGAGATGTTTGTCATAATTAGGCTCCTTGCTTTCTTTGTTTGTCTGTGGTGTTATTTGATGGATCTTGACCAAAGATACTCTAAGAGGTGATGACCAATTGAAATGACGTTTGAGGCATTTTTTTATTTGAAATTTGCATCAGTATTTATTAGACTAATGATTTCCTTCTTAGAACATGTTCTCTTGCTTATTGGTGATTGGTATGCACATGTCACAAGCCATGGTATAATGCAAGATAATAATGCCTATCATTAGAAGAAACAAAGGAAAGAAACATGAATAGAGAAAGCAGTGGTTTAAATAGGTGCCCAAGAGCTCGCCTAGGTGCTCGGGTGAGGCGAGGCGAGGCGACGCGTGAGTGCCTTAAGGGTCGACTAGGCGATGTGCTTCAATGAAGTGCCACCTAGGCACTTGCTTGAACCCAAGCACCGGGCGCCTCGGGCGAGCAACCAACTAGCTACTTTCTTTTATTGTATCCGCAAAACCCACGTCCCGCACCCCCGTGCGACCTCGAACCATCAACCCTAGTGCAACTTCTGCCTTCGTTGCCGACACACAGGATCGAGGCTTCCTTTGTTGTCGATGGACGGGTCTGATGGCCTAGCCTTCGTGCACAATTTCTTTCGTCGTCGATGCTTCCATGTGCAATTCCTTCTACCGTCGAGGGAGAGGACTGCAACTTCCTCCACCACCGACGAACACCTCTGAAGCTTCCCCTGCCCACGACGTCACCGTCCGCAGCTTTCATCGCTGCCGCTACTATCGTCCGCAGCTTCCTTTGCTGCCGCTATTGTTGTTTGTAGCTTCCTTCGCTACTGCTACTGTCATTTGCAGCTTCCTCCATCGCTGTCGTTGTCGTCCGAAAGTTCTTCTATCACCGCTGCCCTCTCCTTCCTCACTTTCCATTGTCGGTGATACTTTTCTCCCCCTCTACCTACTGTTAACAGTAAATAATATATTGTTAACAATAGATTATTAACTATTGTACAAAGCAATCTTTATTTAGATTGATAATATACTATTTAGATTTTAACACTGCTAATCTCTATTTATTTAAAATTATTATTAATGGCAAGTGTATAAAGCAATTCAGAAGATTCTTTAAAAAAATTAAGAAAGGATCATGCTTTGAAATACAATTATCTAAAGGATCCTAAGGAACCTAATGCAGTTATTTGCATCTTTTATTAGAGGTGATATTCTTTATGCAAAGCAGCATCCTGTCACGGACAAACTTCTAAACAAGATGTTTGATGTAATGCTTATGTATGTCCGTATCTTTTGGCATGTTCATGCCTTGTACAGAATGTAGAGGGGCGGCCGAAGGCTTAATAGTCCCACTTTAGTTGGGTTGGTGGCCTCTTTAGGCTTGTAAATAAAGGTTGTGTCATGTGGACACGTGCGAGAGCTTTTCGGTATGTAATGGACCATTTTACCCTTTGTTGTGCCACTGTTCAGAGCTTGTAAAGTCTGTTTGTAATTTGCATTGTCTATGAGGTATTTTTCGGAGATGTTTTCTTGTGGATCCCGATTGAGGCGTTCTCTCTAACCCGTTCTCTCTTTTGGTGGTCCTAAGGGACAATGGGAGGCTTCGGGGAGGCTGACCTTTGCGAACGGACACGCAAGGGTGCCGCACGACTTAGGCAAAACCAGCTAAGTCTGTGACAGATGGTATCAGAGCGGGACAAGCACTCATAGAAACACTTAGCATGCAAACGTGGGGGACCTCAGCACACGCGCAACCGTTTGGGGGAAAACGGGCATGGAGATATAGGGAAAAGAGTCGCTCAGAGGAGCGGGCATCTGACATTGGCATTCAGAGGAATGGCCAACCCTTCGCGCAAGAGGCACCACGAGAACAGACAAGCTTGAAAGAATGCGGAGCGCACAAAGGTTGGGATGGCTGAGTTTGAGCTACGGCTCAACGTTGACAACTATACTTGATGGTGCTCTAGGCAAGCGAGGCGCTTGGCAAGAATGAGACCATGCAAGGTGGAATGAGTTGCTCAACGACCAAAAGAGTTATGCAAAGCTCACAGAGGTGAGGGGAATTGCTAACTCGAAGAATTTGGTACTCATGCATGGGCTTGTATGTGGACGATGGAATGTTCATGACCATCCCAAGGCGACCGAAACTCGGCGCCATGGAGCATTGAAACTTTCTCTTCGGCATGTGAAGGATACGTCCGTAGGAGGCTGAAGTGTGCAACGAGTTCAGCATGTTGCTAGGCCTTGAGGGGTGCAGCGGGGGCTGTATTGACGGGGAGTCGCAATCTAGCAAGTGCGTTTGCAGGAGGCAGAACAATGCACAGTTTGTTCAGTAGATCGGAGTAGTCCAAGGGGATGGTGGTCTCCGAAACGAAGAGAGATGTTGCTCCAATGGGACAGTTATCCAGGAGGGATAAGTCCCGGCTCTCCAGAGGGAGAATCAGGTGAGACGAACCTCACATGTTGAGGAGGAGTACCTCAACAAACAACAACTCCACGAAGCTCGATGGACTGAGCAAGCGGCGAGGAGTTATCGCATGATCTCACTCGAGAGGATGCATTGCGAGATCAAGTGGGGGAGCGACCTAAAGCAACTTAAATGAAGGCACACTTGGAGTCGATGTGGAGATTGGACTCAAGAGAGGGCTGACCCGTGGAATGGTGGGCGCGAGGGCCACCATCGACTCAATGCAAAAACGAGGAGCGGAGC